TAGCGAGATACCATCTTGTTATATCATATTATGATTGTTTTGAGAAAGTGTTATCATCCGAGATTTATTATTATTGCTCGCTAGTTGATTATGCCATTGATATGACTAAATATAAGACCCAAGTGTTATTGTGAATATGGCTAGTTCATAATCTTTGCTGAAAACTTGAATGCTGGCTTTACATATTTACAACAACAAGAGCAAACAGAGTTTGTAAAAGTTTTTCTTTATCACTTTCAGTTTATCAATTGAATTGCTTGAGGACAAGCAAAAGTTTAAGCTTGGGGGACTTGATATGTCTCCAACGTATCTACTTTTCCAAACACTTTTGCCCTTGTTTTGGACTCTAACTTGCATGATTTGAATGAAACTAACCCGGACTGACGCTGTTTTTAGCAGAACTGCCATGGTGTTGTTTATTGTGCAAAAAACAAAAGTTCTCGGAATGACCTGAAAATCCACGGAGATAACTTTTGGAAAATATAAAAAATACTGGCGAAAGAATCAAGGCCAGGGGCCCACACCCTGTCCACGAGGGTGGGGGGCGCACCCCCTCCCCCTGGGCGCGCCTCCCTGTCTCATGGGCCCCCTGATGCTCCACCGACCTCAACTCCAACTCTATATATTCCGTTTTGCGGAGAAAAAAATCAGAGAGAAAGTTTCATCGCATTTTACGATACAGAGCCGCCGCCAAGCCCTAATCTCTCTCGGGAGGGCTGATCTGGAGTCCGTTTGGGGCTCCGAAGAGGGGGATTCGTCGCTGTCGTCATCATCAACCATCCTCCATCACCTATTTCATGATGCTCACCGCCATGCGTGAGTAATTCCATCGTAGTCTTGCTGGACGGTGATGGGTTGGATGAGATTTACCATGTAATCAAGTTAGTTTTGTTAGGGTTGATCCCTAGTATCCACTATGTTCTGAGATTAATGTTGCTATGACTTTGCTATGCTTAATGCTTGTCACTAGGGCCCGAGTGCCATGATTTTAGATCTGGACCTATTATGTTTTCATGAATATATGTGAGTTCTTGATCCTATCTTGCAAGTATATAGTCATGTATTATGTGTTATGATTCGACAACCCCGAAGTGACAATAATCGGGATACTTCTCGGTGATGACCGTAGTTTGAGGAGTTCATGTATTCACTATGTGTTAATGCTTTGGTCCGGTACTCTATTGAAAGTAGGCCTTAATATCCCTTAGTTTCCACTAGGACCCCGCTGCCATGGGAGGGTAGGACAAAAGATGTCATGCAAGTTCTTTTCCATAAGCAAGTATGACTATATTCGGAATACATGCCTACATTACATTGATGAACCGGAGCTAGTTCTGTGTCACCCTATGTTATAACTATTACATGAGGAATCGCATCTGACATAATTATCCATCACTGATCCAATGCCTACGAGCTTTTCACATGTTGTGCTTTGCTTATTTACTTTACCGTTGCTACTGTTACAATTAATTCAAAACTACTACTGTTACTTTTATCACTGTTACCATTACTATCATACTAGTTTGCTACTAAATACTTTGCTGCAGATACTAAGTTATCCAGATGTGGTTGAATTGACAACTCAAGTGCTAATACTTGAGAATATTCTTTGGCTCCCCTTGTGTCGAATCAATAAATTTGGGTTGAATACTCTACCCTCGAAAACTATTGCAATCCCCTATACTTGTGGGTTATCACGGCCCAAGAAGAAAACTGAAGAGACTCGTTCAAAGAGGAACAAGGACCGTACCTCCAAGAGGGGAAGTATCAATTAAATTCTGCTCTTGGATACTTGGCTCTTGTAGTTGAAATGTCTAGTGGTTGTGAAACTATGTGTTTGCTATTTGTGGAACTATGTGTTTGCTATTTGTGAAACAATGTGAAACTCTGTTTGCTATGTGGAACTAAGTAGTTGAACTTCGTTTGCTTATTATGCACAAGTTTATGTGGAACTCCGTTTGACATGTCTATTTAGTTCAACTTTTATTAATGTGTATGTGATGCCCAAGTTTAATTGTTTGAGATCTGTTTTTTTAACTCTATATCATTGCTGTGATATTGTTTTTAAAAAGAGGTAAATACAGGAACCTACCGCCAAGGACCCTGGCGGTAGGGTCAGACAACCTACTGCCAACCCCACTGGCGGTAGGTTGAATCTACCGCCAGACCACTGCGATTTTTCATTACAGAAGCTTTCGAAGGCAAAAACCCAAGCCATACCCTACCGCCAGGGGTGCTGGCGGTAGGGTTAGACAACCTACCATCAGGGTCCCTGGCGGTAGGATGCTAATCCACATCAGCATGTGGACACAGTCGCCGTCCCCCTCCGTCACACCCTACCGCCAGGGTCCCTGACGGTAGGCTGTCTAACCCTACCGCCAGCGCCCCTAGCAGTAGCAAAAGGGTCAAATCTCGAAAAAAATCAACCGGGTCAGATCCTGAATTGGTATACGAAAAAGGGTCAAAACAAAAGAAATTGCCGCGGGTGGCCAACATGCAACGAACGGCGCGGAGGACATTTTCACGTGCAGAGGCTCCCCAGAGACGGATACTCCAACATTTCACGCGCAGAGGCTCCCCGGAGACGGATACTCCAACATTCTTTATAGAAGTAATAAATATTAGCTTAGTCATCTACTCATCGTTGCAATTGTACATGAAGCACTTGCAATGGGCTAGGTTTTTTTACCGGTGCTGGGAGCTACCGGTGAAGTCCCAACCAATCAAATACTTTCAGCTAACTTTGTGTGGGCCAACTATCCAATGGTATAGTGTTGTATTTGGCTAGTATCTGGTCCATCAGGTCAAATCAATGTCAGACCCAACCGTACCGAGTGCATCTTTTATGCCTAGCCATGCATGCATGTTGTCAGACCACTCCACACACAGAAAAGGCAAACATTTTATTTATTTTGGAAGATATTAATTCATTGATATCTTTTGAATAAAATTTTCATTTTGAAATATTTTTACATATTTGAATTCCTGACGACGTGATCTTTAAAATAAGATCAAACTTGAAATCATTTCAAACGAGTTCAAAATTCTTGCAACATATTTCACTCATTTGTAATAAACAAATTTCACTCATTTCTTAAAAAATATTTTAACTTGTTTATTTCACACATTTCAAAATACTTATTTCAGTCATTCCAAAACACATATTTCAATCAGTCGACAAAATTGGTTTTGCTCATTTCAAAATACGGATTTCGCTACATTCAATTCAAAGATAGTGTTCACCAAATTGAGATGTGAAACTTGTTATTTGAATACATTTCGAACAAGTTTAAAATTGATTTAACTTGTTTATTTCACTCATTTCAAAATATTTATTTCAGTCATTTCAAAACACATATTTCAATCATTTGAAATAATTGGTTTCACTCATTTCAAAAAACGGATTTCTCTCCTTTCAATTCAAAGACAGTGTTCACTCAATTGAGATGTGAAACTTGTTATTTGAATAGATTTCGTGCGAGTTTAAAATTCTTGCAACATATTTCACTCATTTCTAATAAACAAATTTCACTCATTTCTTAAAAACTGATTTAGCTTGTTTATTTCAGTCATTTCAAAATACTTATTTCAGTCATTTCAAAACTCATATTTCAATCATTTGAAAAAAATGGTTTCACTCATTTTCAAAAAAAAAAAACGTGAGACCAACCCCACTCATTTTCAAAAACTTATTTCACTCCTTTGAAAAAACACATTTTACTCATTTTCAAAAACTTATTTCACTCCTTTGAAAAACATAACTAGAGCTGAAATATAATTGAAAATTCACACTAGTCAAAATATATCCAAGATTGGTCTTGATTTAAAGATCTTGTCGACCTAAATACAAATATATAAAAAGTTTCCAAAACAAAAATTCGGTTTAAAAGTTATGAGCAATTCAAAATGCTAAATTGAAAATAAAAGACAAGCTTTTTTTTTGGAGAGAGAGAGAGAGAGAGAGAGAGAGAGACAAGGACGACATGTGCATGCAGCCTGCTGTACTATTGTGAGTGAAAGCATCCTCCACTAGTACTTTTCCTGACAAAAGTGTGTGGATGTCAGTTGTATTAGCTGTGTATTCCGTCTGTATCTCCAAATGTGAATGGATTTTATTTTCATTGCATGAAATTTAAAGTCTGAAGTGTAAGATGGATCCTTTGCCGGTACATACCGGTTCCGGTAAAAGAGACTTTGCGGCACTTGCAAGACAGTTGTTTTGTTCCGGGACTAGGAGTTCTAAAACCTGGCCCATGGGATCAAATGGATGGTGGACAATGGAAAGATCTGTTTTCCTTCCAAAAATAAATAGAAGCAAATCGCTTTACATGGAACCATAAGATTCATCAGCTGGAACATCCATGGTGCACAAAAACCAAGCGAGAGATAACATGGTTCAGCTGAATCAAACATCCATGTAGCGAGACAAGCTGACCGACATAGTTGCATCATCCATGCAAACACAAGTACTTCCAATAACATATTTCTGCTCGACATATAATACCTAGAAATATGGGACATTTATATCTGTGCCCCTAACTCAAACCCACTACTTAGATTTGCCCCTAACTTTGAAGCATACTCAAATTTGCCCCGCTGCCGTTAAGTCACTACTCAGAAATGCCCTTCCGTACAGTATTGTAGCACTTTCCATCCAATACTGTAGCATTTTCCGTCTGCTACAGTACATATGGGCCTTTGACGGTCAAAGGCCTTTAAGTGGACGGAAGGGCATTTCTGAGTAGTGGCTTAACGGCAGAGGGGCAAATTTGAGCATGCTTTGAAATTAGAGGCAAATCTGAGTAGGTGGTTCGAGTTAGGGGCAGAAATGCAAATGGCCCTAGAAATATATGCGTAAAGTCACCTCCCTTCTCAAATCCAGCTCATTACTACTAATCAACCCACAAATTTTTAGTGCTGCTACCACAACATTATCTCATATATAAGTCTTGCTAGGAGGATGAAAGGGCTTTATCTCTCCATCGGCATGAGGTAAAAATCTAGCCATCATTGGATAAACCAACGATAGTGAGATCTGCCTTCACAATGCAGCTCGACCCTACAACATAGCCTTTCTTGAGTTTCTTGAGTCCAAGAAAGTTAGGCCAACCCCATCCGCCATCACATACGAAGAGACCTGTCATCACCACAAAAGTAAGATCAACTGTAATCATCATGAGGTTACAAAAACTAGCTGCTTGAATCACACATATCAGTAGCACTGATACTTGCTAAGGAGAGTTGAACCTGAAGTTTTAGTCAAGTGTTTCCCATTCTTTTGGTTCAGGATGGACAGAGTCATTACAGCCACCTTCCTAGACTCGAGATGGAGCTCATCCAAGGCATCCAGGAATAAGTACAAGCTGAGGCAATCAGTGCTGTACAAGTCACCACGCGGGTACATGCTGATGCACATGTTGACAAAAATATAATTAGGTACCCAGGAAAATTTTATTTACAGAATGTGGTTAGTTATTGAAATCAGAAAGTTGTGGCTGAGCTTGGGTGTAGCCAGCCATCAACTTTGGACACAACTTCATGGCATTACACTTGTACAAAAAATTTAAGCAAACCATGACTATGGTACAAGATAATACAATGTTCCGCAAAAAGAATCTGAGAAAATAATTGATGATATGTGACACATACTAGGACCATACCAAATATATATGTCAGAATGAAATTTCTGTGAAAATATATCCTAAACAACATAACATATGGCCATGACATTTTATGCCAACATAGATTTTAGTACTACATTGTTTCAAATTTGTTCCTGAATTTTGGCAAACCATGATTACAAAACCCCTATGCTATTGAAATTGGAATGTGCTACCACATATCTGTAAATATCTGTATTGCATGCTTAGAGATCAAGCTAAAATATCCAGTTGGAATATATGGTGGACTTGTAAGCTAAAGGATACATTTAAACTAAAATCTTGTATAACACATGTATATCATTTATATAAATTATTTCTGATGTAACTGTCTAATTGGTAATAGGTGCATACCATTTATGCCCGCCAACTTCAAATGTAGGAGAACGGACACAGTGATCCAAGTCCAATTCAAGGAAATTGTTCATGTTACAAGTGTATGTCCCTTTGACGAACCCCTTCTTCTGGACAAAGAGGTTCTGAACTGTGGTAGCCTTCTTCTGAACCACAACAACCTTCTTTTCAGGAGAGCAGGCATCAATTTTTAATATCTCCACAGCAAAGACACAACTATCATCAACTAGAAAAGCAGATGATTTCAGTAGCTTCTTAAGAGGAATCAAGCAATGCTCCTTCGAGTAGAAATTCTTGAAATCAAAGTTGGAGCTAGCTGCGTTTACGTAAAGGTTAGAAGATTAGAGAACAAATAACTTGTACGTAAGGTGCAAATGTACCAAATAATATATAGCCAACCCCCATTAAAAACAGGTATATATTATCTATATAACCAACCATCACCCCAGTTCAGAAAGCCAAAGAAGATATCAAGATAGTGAACTACACCCAAATGATGTTAATCAAATTTAAAGAGAACATGTGTATGTAGTCCAAATCAGACAAACTTAACGACAAAGAAAAATACAAAACGACTTCTTCATGGCAAAAGTAATATTTGATCGTAATGATGGAACCATGGTATTTATATCTCAAACTTATGACACACAGACTACGGACTCCTAGCTGTAATAGGATGGATGTGCTTGAAAAAATAAATCCATAAGACTACCTTTGCATCCATAGTACATTCCTTTTGAATGGTTGTATATTGACAATTCAAACGTCGCATGCACTGTGTGAACTGGCATCAAGCTTAGTTTGGATGGCACAAGACGAAGAGCAACATATGGAGTTACAGAACGAGCTTCTTTATGCATTAGACTCACTTGCAGGTCCCTGAAAATGAAATCATGGGAAGAAACCAAAGTCAGTCTAGAATTCATAACTGAAGTAGGAAAGAAATCTAATTTCCTCACTTCATGCACCGTATCAAGCGTTAGCATCTGACTGTTTGTTTATGAGACATATAATGTGTATTAGAAACAAACCATATGGTATTTACATCTAATACATAAACTCTGCAGAGTTTTTTTGGCAATTATGATACATACCAGTTATAACCAGAGCAGTGAAAAGGGCCAGATGTTGCTCTCTTAGCTCCAGTCTTAAGCAGTGATGAGAAGTCATCAATCCTCCATTCGAAATCTGGAACGTGGGTCTTTCCGAAGTCCCGAATCCTCCATTCTGGATCCGGAACAACATGGGCCTTTCCTAGGAGTGCACGAGCTGATGTTTGCACAAGTGCGATAACTCAAAATTACAAAACAAAGAAAGAGAGAACATGCAATGGAAAAATTCATGTGCATGTCGCAGTTCCAATAAACAGGCTACAATATCAACCACCGCAAGAATGGCCAACAACATATAAGTTCTTTATGTTCTGATTATATGAATCAAACTCTTGAATGCAATTATTTGGGATATGTTTTTCATGTAACCAAGAAAGGGTGGAACAAGGCAGAAGTTACTTGTAGTTTCTTATATATCATTATTCTGATATATCAACAAGACATCAAGACCAACTAGTTAGCAATCTTGCTAATTTATCAACATGATGGTGAGGGCAAGTACTTGTTCAATTCAGAGCTAGGATTTCATGTTCTTACCTTGACTTTTGCCAAGGAATTAATTATGTAAATTGCATCTAAGTTTTAGTCTATAAAACATACAGTCCAAACATCACGATTGACCAGACAAACATACATGAACTCTTGCAGTTGCCCATAGATCTGCCCCTTCCTCTTCTCTCCTCCTCTGCAAGTAAGATTAAATCATACCACATCTCAGAGAAAGGTAGCAGATCATGCAAATACTACTGCACTAATTACCATGGCAGACAAATAATATTATCACGCCATAATGCAGGGTTAAGAGCATACAGAATCTTCAAAGGTAGAGCCAATCTTGGTCAAAATAACTACCATGGCAGAAAAATAATAAAGGAGAGACCAAGAAGTAGAAATCCCTATACACGAGCAGGTCGATTAAAAATCTACATGCTTTAGCCCTCGATTTGATTACTAAAGAAAGCCAAGAACTTGCACCGCAAAACCATGGATCCCTGTTTCGTTAAAAGAAAAGAAAAAACTGCAAGTCTGAAAAACCCTCAAGTCCAGAAGAAAAAGTGAAGAAGAGTAGGATGTGATAATCCGCGGTAAAAAGACGGGATATGTGACTTCCATGAAGAAGCCAAGGAAGAGAGGGACCTGGATTTGGGGGCAGACTGAGAAGAACTCACAATGGCTTCCTCCGCATTCGTCGGGGTCCCGGAGCCGGAGGTGAGAGGGGAGTGGGGTTTTAATCCAAGGAGAAGGGGATGGTCGCCTCTCCATGCTCCACAGTCCACAAGTCACAAAGAGGAACAACACTTGCCCCTCACTTTTCTCTCCTCTCTCTCCGCCCGTCGCACCGTTTTCCTCCCCACCTCTGTTCTCGCTTGTTAAAGGACTCGGATGCCATTCAGCAAGGTTGCCATTCTTGTGCAAGGCTTGCTAAAGGAGACTGACGCGTTCACTGTTTTTACTTCTCTCCTTTTTCCTCTGCTCTGTGCTTTACTTCACTCGGCATAGGAGCTGTTGGTGGGTGGTAGCTGCTCTTTTCTTTAAAATAAAGGAAAACTGATTGTGTGAATAGGAACTCAAATTCACATTCAACTTGAACCGGGATGCTGAGAGCAACTCCAACCAGCTGACCAAAACGGACTAAGTTTGTGTCGGACCAGCGGACACCCATATCCGCTTTGGCGTTTGGGTCGGCGCCCAACGTTGGCCCGACCATTTTCGAGGTCGCGTGAAAAAAATAAATAATGCAAATATTTTGAAATTAAAAAACGTTAATTAAACATAAATGCAGGCCACAAAGACTGGCGAGAGTCCGCGAGTCTACTTTACATTAAATAAAAATATTTAATAAAACTAAAAAGTAGAAGGACGTGTGCTATCCTAGGCGTCCTCCTCGTCGTCGTTGGGGCTGGTGAGGTCGATGAGCATTGGCGCCAGCCAGCCCAGGGGAACGCCGTCAGCCAGGCTGTGGCGATGTTCTCCGACGCCGGCGCGATCGCCACCGGCTGGGCAGCACGCGCACAACGCTCCTCTTCCTCTGCCTCGCGACTCTCCTCGTCGCGCTCCCACTGCTCGAGCCGCTCCTTCGCCAGCCAGTGCCACCGCTAGTGCTCGAGGTAGATATGCTCGTGCGCCGGCGTCGCCCCGTACCAGACGAGTGGCATGCTGACCCACTCGCGCACCACCCCGTTCTGTGTGTATTGATGATGAAATAGACCTAGGGTAGGGTCATAGGCCTGGCCTATACGTCCTACCCAAGGTCACTACCCTAGAAGCAAAGAAGCTCAAGAGACAACAAGGAGTGCCCAATGAAGGTGTCGAGTGCAATCCACTCGACGAATCAGTCACTCGGGTACCCCTCCTTCCCGATGTGACACGACCAGTCAACCACTCGACCATACAAGAAACCACTCGACCAACTGAAGACCGGGAGTCACTCAGAACTGCAACGATCAGGCGTTCATTCCGTAGTCTTTAAGATCATTAAAAGCACTTTATGGCTGGCATTATCAGTAACGCCCCATCTTTATGTACATTCAACTCTTGGTAACGGGGGATGGCCGGGGTCCTGGCGCACTCTATATAAGCCACCCCCTCCTCTGGGATAAGGGTTCGCACCCCCTGTAACACACACTCTCATAATCCAGTCGACCGCCTCAGGGCACCGAGACGTAGGACTTTTACCTCCTCTGAGAGGGGCCTGAACTCGTAAACACTTGCGTACAATCTCACCGTAGCTAGGACCTTGCCTCCTCATTTGTACCCCCTATACTTACTTTCAAACTTAGAACCACGACAGTTGGTGCCCACCTTGGGGCAAAGCGTCTTAGTGACTTCCGGTGAGGTTGCATTTTCTTCGATCTTCATCAGCATGGTTTCCGGCGGCGGTCTGGTCGTGGGCCGCGAGTTCCGACTCGGCGCGCTCACTTTCGTCGCTGACAACTCCGCCTGGCTCCAGGAGGCCCCCCTCGATGTCGAGGCTCTTCTGGCTCGTGGCTCGTCGCACTTCCGCACGAGTTCCTGCGGCGTCCTCCTTCAACGGCCGTCTTCCCCGTACCAGTCGGTCATCGCGTCGTCATCTCACTCTGCTAGACGCCACCGCAAGTGGTCTGGGCGTTCGCGGCTTCAGCGATGGGTGAGACACATGGTGGCTCGTCAGGCGTTCACCCCTCAAGTCGCGGCGATCGAGCCCGACGTATTTCCCTACGGATCGGTCGACCTGTCGACTAATTTTGCATATACCTTTTCCAAGAGCGGGAGTTGTGACCCCGCGGCGGAGGTCCTCATGGTCGACTCCCATTGCGGTCCACCTGGCTTTCATCGCAGTGCTGACGGCGGTAGAAGCGATGGCCCGTCACTCGACCATGAAGAATATCAGCCCCAATCTCTTAGCTCGCAACGGAGGGAGGAGCTGCATCGCCGCAATGTGGATGCTCTCCAGACCCCCATAATAGGGGAAACCGCCGAGTCCCGAGCCTTGGAGGCAGTACGCCTAGCCACTCTGGCTGAGCGCACTCATCTGGAGAATCTCCAACATTCTCTCGACGAGCGTGCTCGTCGACTGATCCTCGAGTCCAGTCGATGTCCACGGCAATTGTTTCCACCGGAAACTCAGGTATTCCGCACACCGATTCAGAATCTTGCAGCAGCTGCGCGTATTGCTGAGTCCATTTAGCCGCCCCGTTCAGAGGCTGGAAGAGGTTTGGAACAGATTAGAATGCTGGTTCGAGCAGTAGGAGACCAGAACTCCGCTGTGTCCCAGTCACAGAACAGAATCCACAACAGATTAGTAAGAGCAGACACCGTTCTGTCGACACACAGTCCTAGGTCCCCTTTGCGGCATGGAGGTCGTGATCACCGCCATGATCGGTACCTGGGAAGAGCTCATGGAGAATATGATCGTGAATATGCCCGCGAAAACTACCGTCGAGCGCCTTCGCCACTTTCGAGGGATGGGTCATACGCGCCCTGGCGCAATGACGACAGGCGTCCGTATGGGAATGACCGCAGAGTTCCAGTCGACCCCAGAGAGCCTGGCTTCGACGCAAGGTCCGTCCTTGTGCAGGGTTTAGTCGACTAGAACAGAGCATACAGAGAAGGGCTGGATCGAGACAGACCCAGTGGAAGCAGGGCCCATGTTTCCGGCCCAGAGTGTTTTGGAAGAGCCATCAGAGCCGCTGAGATTCCTCATAACTTCAGACTGGCGACTGGCGTCAGTAAGTTCATAGGAGAGTCGAAGCCCGATACTTGGATTGGAGACTACCGAGTGGCTGCGCACATTGGTGGCGGTAGCGATGAGGTACCCATGAAGCAACTTCCTCTGATGCTTGAAGGTTCTGCTAGAGCTTGGCTGAATCAGTTGGCCCCTGGGAGCATTTTGAGTTGGGATGAGTTAGCCCGAGTGTTCACCAGAATGTTTGAGGGAACATGCAAGAGACCTACTGGTCTACCCGAGTTACAGCATTGCGTGCAGAAACCGAACGAAACCTTGAGAGACTATATCCAGAGATGTATCACTCTGCACCACACAGTGGAGAATGTGTCAGATCACCAAGCAGTCCGTGCCTTCAAGGAAGGCGTTCGCTACAGAGAGCTCAATCTGAAGTTCGGTCGGACTTGAGATATGTCTTTGACTCAAATGATGGAGATTGCCACCAAGTATGCTAACGGTGAAGAGGAGGACCGACTCCGGAGCGGTCAACACAAAACAGTCGCCCAGGACACCGGAGGAGGAAATTCCGGTCGGAAGCAGAAGCGAAAGGCTGAGGAAGCAGGTCCTGCCGAGGAAGTAGTGTTGAATCAAGGAAAATTCAAAGGGAAGCCCAAAGGGCCTTGGATCCCTAAGAAGGTGAAGGACCAGGAAGGAAATGATGTGATGGATTTGCCGTGTCATATTAACACCAAGAAGGATGAGGAGGGGAACCTGATCACTCTCGACGTGGTTTTCAGCGATGAGAAGAATTTCCGCAAGGAAAAGTTGACGTTTGAGGTTGTGGATTTTCAGAGTGCATATCATGCCATTCTGGGCAGGCCTTCTTATGCTAGCTTTATGGCTCGACCATGCTATGTATATCTCAAGATGAAGATGCCTGGCCCCAGAGGCGTAATAACGGTTTCCGGTAATCGTCAGAGAGCAGAAGATTGTCTTCAAGATGGGGCAAAGATAGCAGATGAGCAGTTGGCAGCAGTAGAGTTTCAAGAGTACCAGAAGACTGCAGATCAGAGTGATTTGCTGTGTGCTAAGAGGCCTGCCTCAGAGTCTGCATTTCAGTCGGCCGGCGAGACCAAGCCAGTCCACATTCACCCGACCGACCCCAATGCTGCTCCAACCCATATCTCGTCGACACTCGACAGCAAATAGGAAGAAGCGCTCATCCAGTTCTTCCGTGAGAACTGGGACATCTTTGCATGGAAGCCATCTGACATGCCAGGTGTACCCAGGGAGCTGGCTGAGCACCGTTTATGAGTCGACCCAAAAGTAAAACCCGTTAAGGAGCATCTTCGTCGGTCCGCCACGGAGAAGAGAAAAATCATTGGCGAGGAGGTGGCTCAGCTCCTGGCGGCTGAGTTCATCCACGATATATACCACTCCGAGTGGCTCGCCAATGTTGTTATATTTCCAAAGAAAGACAAATCACTTCGAATGTGTATTGACTTCAAGCACATCAATCGGGCCTGCCCAAAAGATCATTTTCCTCTGCCCCACATCGACCAGATAGTC